AACTTTGTCACCACCTTGAGGTGAGGCAGAGGGTAGCACCCTAGACACTCAAAAGCAAAATATTCAATCGAAAGAATTAATGTAATTTTACTCTTGGCATGGCTGCGTAACCACTCTGATTGTCAATAACAGACAACACATGAAATAAAACTGTCTATCAGCTTCATGCTCCTCCAGTCTATGTAAAAAACACTGTACAAACATGTAAGAGAGAATGACAGCACTAAATAAAAGAAAAAAAAATAACAGGTAAGAGGGATGGTAAATAAAGGTTACATGACAATGACTTCATGAAAAAGACTATTTGTTTCAGGTTGAAAAGATTCAAAAGGTTCATGTCTCTGAGTCATTAAGAAGTAAGACTGTGTAAAAGCACATGGATAACATTTAAGGATGTATAACTTTTTTTTCTTTTCAATTTACTAACCTGACACTCCGACAGTCCTCAGTCCTCTTTTAAGATTCCAGTGCAACAATCAAGATGACTTTTTTCTAAGGTAACGGTTTCTGTAACAGAGACTTTAAACACAAGCATCCAGGAAAACAATTAAACCACACTTTAATACTTTTTAACACTCTTATAAGCACTCTGATCATGTTCCCTTCCTCAGTGCTCAGCAAAGAGCAATCATCAATGATAGAGAGTGTATAAAATGAATCACTATTCTCCACCAGCTTCATGCTCAGAAGGAAACATCGTGACTCATCATCGCGGTTAGCGAGACAGTACACGTTTGAAACACATTTCTCAAGTCAGAAACTATAGAAAGGATCCCCGAAAGTACAGTCTTAGTGTGCTCACATGTGTAAACTGCATGTGGTTTTCAGTAAAGTCTTCATCAGTCAGGGTTCTTCTCTGCTATTCAATAACATTGTGCAGTTGCCATGTCTTGTCCAATCATCTGTGTTTATGCAAAGAACATAAATACAGAGGATGACAGGAGACAGAGGAGCAAAGAGTGTGCGCATTAGAGGAGCTGCGTAAATCTGCTGTTTGATGAAACCAGAGCAACACACTAGACACAGAGGAGAGACAATACCAATGTTGGTCAATCTTCTTGCTCCATAACACTGAGACATGCCTCTGAGAACTACCTCTAGTGTGTAGGATGGAAAGGGATGGGACTCGATATTTATGTTTTAGCAGCGTGTTAAGCAGATGTTGATGTTGAAACACTGCTACAAAGTGTAGTTCGAAACACCCGTGTTACATGACCATAAGTAATATAGGTTTTGGTGCGCTTTGCCCCAGTTTCAACTGCTGGCTTAGTTTCTGCTTAAAAGTTTGACTAGCAGAGTGCAGAACAAAACAGATAACAACATAAATTCCTTGAAATGTTAAAAGTCATCAACACCAGCAGCAGAAGCAAAGGACAGTTTGCTGATGCAGCTGTGGAGGTCAAAAAATAGCCCACGGCTGCATCTGTTCCAAGGACACATGATCCTTTAGATTGGAAGGAATGATAAGTCATATATCCTCATATTTATAGGTTAGCCTACCTATGTATACTTGCAGCGTTTCCAAGGCTGAAGAGGTAAACTGCCCAAAAAGACACTAACTGAACCCCGAAATATGTTAAACATGACAAATGTAGACATTTGATTTTCTCTTGTTCATCTTCATTTTCCATCAGCATAATTAGCAACATTCGTTCACACTTGATGCCACCGTAGTTGAAAGATCTTTTACAAAGCTTACTGGGGCCTACTCAGCCCACATACAAAGTAGCAGGCATTTAAATCTACTGAAGATATGAAAAACATGTTGATCATTAATAATTTGGTATAATAAGTATCACCGGTTTTGAACTGTGCAGG